AAAGACAATAAGGCCTTCAATTGTCGAGTGGAATACGAGAAGACGGACCGCAGCAAGAGGACGTCCGTTTGCAGCGACTTCCCGAACAGGGTATGTTTCCAGGAACAGACCCAAAGCCACGTGTCTTGGCTTTGCTCCAAGCCCTTCAAGGTCATCTGCATCTACATTGACTTCTTCAGTGCTGACTACAAGCTAGTACAGAAGGTCTGCCCAGATTACAACTACCACAGTGACACTCCCTATACCTCTGTGGGATAGCACAGCCTAGATTGGATGTGTTAAGGTAACTGAGGTGTCATCTCATTGTTACAGCCTCTCTAGTCTGTAGTTTCCTTCTTCTGTTCCATAAAGAACCGGAAAAATGGAAGCAAGGTCAGATGATTATATCTTGCTTGTCCTCCTAGGGCAGTCGATGACAGGAATAGTTCACCAAAAAAATTAATTTTCCACAGAAAAATGTCTGGAACAAAATGAGGATGAGTGAATGAGAAATGGTTATATTTTTGGGTGAATCCAGGCTCAAGACCTGGTTCGTGTGGTTGACATTTAGATTGGACAAGACCAACACATCTATGGTTTCCACAGTGACCCCTGACCCTTTCTCAGTGACTCTTGTGATGTCATCAGTGACGTTTTAAAAGATCCTAAACAAATTTCCCAATCAACATAAGCTGGAATTCAATAACAGAACAATGTAAAACATCTTGTATTGCAGCCATTTGTGATGCCCTCCTTTTCATGCCAACATATTTTTGTGTTCACAGAAACGTTGTCAATAACTCAGATTAATGTTAAAGCCATAATGTGCTCCTCAGTTTTTTTGTATTTTGTTTCAGTTATTAAAGAAAATACAAAATTTTAATTTCCAGAATGCTCCCTTGTGTAGTTTTTCTTTGACTCAAAGACTGTCAGCAGATTTTTGGTGTACAACTTCACAAGTTGGATAAAAATCCTTGCACAGATGATGCAATCAAACAAAAAAAAGTCAGACAAAGCTTGAGCAGTAAACTCTGTACCACGTTTGTAACAAAATCTTCAGTATCCCTCTGACTCTACCAGAAGAGTCTCATTGCAGAACAGCCATTAACTTCTGTAAATTCTGCCCAATGAAAACAAATATGACATTCTCACAACAGCAGAAAAAAATGGTTTCATTCACAAAGGTCTGATCATATGCACAAACTCTAATATGAAAAATGTACACATGTCAGTGAGAGTCTGTAATCTCATTGCTTGATGAGCAGGGCTTTTGAGGATTTGCAGCTCGCTGGCTTTGATCTCAGCGTAAGTCATCTCCAGATGTTTAAAGACTAAAAAAGTAGAGAAGATTTATAGAAGTTCATTCAAATGATTTTAGAAGCCACAGACCGAAGCAATTAAGTTTGCAACATGCTAGTGTACCGTAAAGATCATACAGCTCCACACATGGTTTGACAGGAGAGTTTTTAAAGGTACTGATATTCTGAAACTTTCAAAAGATTCCAAACTTGCCGTCAAAAACAAAATCAAGCTAAAACCATTACAATTGGGACAGAATTGTAATATATATTTTTTCCCTTTAATATAATCGTCTGCCAACTGAAAGCTAACTAAAGGCTTTTGATTGGAAAATTGTGCCAATAAAAATATTTTAAATAGACAATATTTAAATATTCATTTTGATCAACTTTCCATGCAGGGAAGAATCACTAATTATTTTTCTCAAAACATTTTGCTGAACAACCAATTTAATATTAATTAAGTGCATTTTAAATGTTTAAGTCAACATGATTCTTTTGTTATTTGGCTTTGTTGTTTTCTTTTTTATGGGTCATGAAATCTGATCTATATGGCTGTTCAAAGAAGAGGATTTGGTGACATCAGGCAAAAAGGTAAGCTGTTTTTAGAGACAGATGAAAAAAAAAAACATGAATAAAGAAGAGGAAAAAAAGATCACAGTAAGACCAGGACATTTTTTCACCATTTTATTTCCAAAGCAATAAATCAAACTTCTTTTGAACCACAATAAATTTTTTTTTTCAAACAAAGAACTCTCCTGATCCATAGAGTATGTTAAACCATGGAAAATAACTTCAACTAAAGTCAAAACTAACTGCGAAAAAGGGGAAAACAAGTTCTGTAAACAACACGGTAAACAAATCTTCATATTTACCATTAGTTTAAGTTGGTGCAAAATATCGACGTCTTTAGCCATGTAATACTCATAATGTGAATTATCACATTTCACCAAGTATTCTACAGCACAACCTCAGTTAATACTTACGCCAATTTTAATGATGATAGACATACAATGCGACATTCTGCCAGCAACATCATCACTTTAAAAGTGTTAGTGGAGATGATCTTTGCACTCGATGCGTGTGCGTGGGTATGCGT